GGTGCCACTTAATCTTATCCCAAGAATAATGAAATTAAACTTCATTTATTTTAATCCCAGCCAGTCATCGTCCTCCCTGGCTTACAGAAACTTTCCTATTGCTGGGAAATTTACCCTTCTCAAGACAACCCTGCCATCTCTAGACAGGCTCAATTATCAAATGTTTCTTCCTCAAAGTAATTCCAAATTTACATATTAATTTTCCTCATTTCTATTTCAAAAGCTTGTTTCCTCTATGCAATTTGTAAGTTGCATGTCAGGCATCCTGCTTCTCCTCGTCCATTGAAAGGAAAAAATATACCATCAGGTTGGGCTGTTTGAAGTATACATTTGACAAGGCACCAGCACACCTTTCTTGCCCCACATATATTCCAAAGATAATGACCAAGTATCTGGCCACTAAGCCCTCCCTCTCCATGATTCCTAACCTGTAATTCACACTCAGTCTTCCTTTTCATCACTCCTGATATCCTGATATCCCTACAGCAGGTCTTTTTCAACTATCCATTTCTTATCTCATATTAACTTCTTGTGGAACATTCAACCATCTCAAATCCTTGAACCCGCCGTCTTATACAACAAGGAAAACACATCTCTCGCATTCCTGGAAGGTGCAAGACACCTGTCTTGAGCATCGTCAACCGTCTTCGTCACCACAAGGAGCACCTCAGCATTTCTCTACTTTTACCTCTCCGAGGTGAGGCTGCCTCCATGCACACGTGATGCCAATTTCTCTTGCTTCTTTCAGGACAGCGGTCCTCTGTATTCTTGATCCCATTTCCTCTTGCCTGGCTCCACCATTTGAAATAATACCTGCATCTCTGAAATACCTATGATCTCCCCTATTTTTCTGTCTGCTCTCTTACAATTAATATTTTCAGGGGTCTCTTGTTTTCAAAAAACAAACAAACAAACAAACAAATGGAAAAACTTCCTTTGATTTTGCTTCACCTAAAGCTGTTGTCTTCTTTCATCCTTTCCTTTGTCATCAACATTTATTTAACTAAAATTTTAAGTGACTCTTCATATAGGATAACCTGATATGTAGCTCTGTCACGGGGCTTTAGATATTTTTTTAAAAAATAAAATGCAGTCTCAGATTAAAAGCTTAATCTAATTAGGGAGGCAAATACACAAAAAACTTCTTAGAAAAAACTGCCTCCAGTTGCTGCTTGAACTTTCCCATCCTCTCCTCAATCAAGTTTCCACTTCCAATAAAATCAGTGATCTAGGGGCGCCTGGGTGGCTCAGTCATTAAGCGTCTGCCTTTGGCTCAGGTCATGATCCCCGAGTCCTGGAATCGAGTCCCATCGTTGGGCTTCCTGCTCAGCGGGAGGTCTGCTTCTCCCTCTCCCACTCCCCCTGCTTGTGTTCCTGCTCATGCTCTCTCTCTCTCTGTGTCTCAAATAAATAAATAAAATCTTAAAAAAAATCAGTGATCTATTGGATCCCAAATGTCAAGCCTTCTCAGTTCTCACCCTCTTTGGCTTTTCTCATTTTAGAGGATGTTAATGATTACAAAAGTGTTTCACATGTATGCTCAAAAGTTATTCTCACAATAAGCCTGTAAAGGAGATATCCTGCCACAAACCCAAACTCCCACTCCCATTTATCAGAGAAGGCTCAGGAAGAATGAGTTACACAAGGTCACCCGGCAAGTACATGACACAGACTGGACTTGATCTCATAGTTTCAGATTCCAGAGCCTCCATGCTTCTAACTATACCCCTGGTGCTTTCCATGGCTGACTAAAGGAATGACTGGATGCATCTATGTTAATCAACTTCATGCATACAGAATGCAGAATGTCAGAAAACATTTGTCTTTCTCTGACCTAATCTGATAGCACTTCATGCAGCTCTAGGCGTGGGATTACTGCCCATTAACACTTGCTGTCTAGCTTTCAATACAAAATGCTTGCTGACCGTGGGCACCTGAATGGGCAAGATGGTGCCTCATTGTATTGAAATGCTATCCTCAGGATTCCTGTCACAGAAGAACCTTAGACATGACTGAGCTTTATAATTAGGATTTTTTGGTGCCCGAGTATCTGAGCAGCTCTAGGCTGAAGAGTGGATGGACTCCCCTTTTATCATATTTCACTACTAGAAGGTCATGTTTTAGTAAAGTTCCAATTTACAAATAACCCCCTTCATTCAAGTATTTTTGAGTATTCAAGGAAATCGGAGCATCTTAAATGCCCAAACTAAATTCACTGTTGATATCTCAACCTATATAACCTTTAATCAATGGATTAATTCCTACCTAGTTATATTCTAATCCTGCTGAAACCTTATGATCCTGGTATCATCTAAAAATGTCTAAATCAATGCTGCATCACTTTTTTTCTTTCTTATAAAAATCGTGAACATAGACTATCTAGAATTTCTGCCTCATCTAATTTGTTTGCAGGTAATTTTTTTTTAACTACCTACATCTGTTGTCCCAGGAAATTTGTTGTCTGATAAAGGTATAGCTTTCTACCTGCTTTTTCTAAAGTAAGAGATATAAACACATACGGGTTTTTATCTTCTAAACAATCTCTTGCTTATAGTCCTAATTAGTTCAGTCATTTGCTTTTATTTGTTGCCATCCCATTTGAACTTTTTACTGCCATTTGAAATGTTTTCTGAAACTTGCTGCTTATTGTCTTTCTCCAATATGTAATTTTTCCTTAATTTGGCTTGTTTACATTGCTTTCTTCCTCCTTCACAATTTCTTCGTAAATGGATATTTTTAAATCTCTTCCATATGTCTCTATGACTGCCCTAAGATCTCTGTTAGGCATTTATTTGTGTGAACTGCTGTCTTTTTCTTTCTATTTCCTTGAATAAATCCACCTTAATTTTGTCCTACTTTTTTGAAGTGCTCATGATGAAATTGAATAAAATCTTAATGTTTGCAGTCAGTCAGCCGCTTGCTGGGTGCCCATGACAGGCACAGCATTGTGCTAAGCTGGGGGATGGAAAAGCCAGGCAGAAGGAAGAACCATGAAAGTAGAATGGAATACAAGAGTTCTTAAATTTAGGAAAAGTTAAAATATAACAGGGTAGATAGGATATCTAAAAAAATCAGAATTCAAAAAGGAATATGTAAATATAGTAAGCAAGTAGGAATGGACTCTATGAATTCTGAACGAAGAAGCAATGATCGGTCGGAGTCATCAAAGAAGGTTTTTGGGAGTGATGGGCTTTACTCAGGGAAGTGTTTAGGATGTCGATAGTTCAGCGGGTGCTGGCCATATTCCAGCTGGAGGAAATGGCATAGAGATAGAAATGAACAATTTACTCTGACGATATCTAGTTTGTTGTTGGATGAATAAAGGAATCAGAGTCTGTGGACATTGAGAAAGCAGGGGTAAGTTTGTGAGTATAGAAGGAAAGAGGGGTGCTTATCATTTTTAATTTGCAGGAATACTTCATGTAATTTTGATTCTGATCCTTGTCAGTTATGTGTGCCACACACCCCAGTCCTTAGGTTGTCTTCTATCTTTTTTTAAAGATGACTTGATGAGCACAAGTTCTTAATTTTAGAGTAGTCAAGTTTATCAATCTTCTCCTTTATGATTAGCACTTCTGTGTCTCATGTAAGAAATTCTTCTCTGCTTTGAGGTTAGAAAGAATTTCACCTATATTTTCTTCTGCAAGTTTTCAAGTTTAGCTTTTGATATTTAAGTTCTTAGTCAATCTGTGATTGATGCTGGTGATCCACATTTTTTCCTAGCTCAGTTGATTCAGCTGTCTTTCCCCAGTGATCTAACATATCCCCTCAGACATACACTACAAGTTGCACAAGTCTGGTTTGGGTTCTCTGTTTTGTTCCTCTGGCCAATGAAAAAGTAATAACCCTGACCACTGACACTTTGAAAGGCTGCCTTACATTGTTCTGGCTCCATGGCAAGTCTCCCATGGGCCAGGTCTGGATCACATGGCCACACAAGTGGGCCACACAATCTAATCTGGCTGAGAGCCTCCAAAGAACTACATGAATTTGAAGAGAAGCATTTTCCAAATGGAGGACATGGGGAACAATCATCAATGGAAGGGGAAAAAGTGATTTAGGACAGGCAAAAAATCGTCACATGTTTGTTCTTATTTGAAGTAGAAGCTTTCTGAAGTGTTCTTCCTCCCATCCCCATAGATAGAATATTAGTTTTGTCATATTGATTTACCAGTCTCACATATATCTGGAAGACACTAACTCCTTTATTATCATATCTGTGTTCAAATATTTCCCCCAATTTTTTGTTTTCTTTTTAATGTTACCTATCACATTCTACAACATGAAAGTAATGATTTTTGTGACTCCAACTTCATGGAGCTTCTAAACTGTGACTTTATAGTTTTATTCTTTATTGTGACTAAGTTTTATTTGTAGTCCTTTTCCATTCTAATACCTAAAGAATATCCATGAACATGTATTTCTTTTTTTTTAAGATTTTATTTATTTATTTGACAGAGAGGGAGAGAGAGAAAAAGCACAGCAGTGGGAGAAGCAGGCTTCCCGTTTAGCAGGAAGCCCAGTGCGGGCTTGATCCCAGGACCCTGGTTAAGGCAGACGCTTAACTGACTGAGCCACCGGGTGCCCCATGAACATGTATTTCTAAAACACTTTATCCACCTGAAAATTATTTTTGGTGGAAATAATAGAGTATCTAAATGTCTCAAATTTGCTTCTTAATTTTCTTGGCACCATTTAGTGAATAATCATTTCCTTTCTGGCCTGTAACCATTTTATACTACACTATTAATATAAAACATAGTCCTTGTCTCTTCTGAGATCCAGACTCATATGTAATATATCTTCTGGCATCTTTCATATGTCCTTTGACTGAATAAATACAAAATGGTACTTATGATCATCACTAAAAAATAATAATAATAAAATAAATGCTGCCTTAATTATAACAACTGTATAATGTGTTGTTATATTTGGCACTATATTAAATCTATAGATCAGTTTACATAGGGTAGGTAGGTAAGTAGATAGACGGATGCACCTCAAGTAGACCAACATGAAAGTTTTCATGAACCCAGGATTATGATTAATCTAATTCTACACGCTTGAGGTCCAAAGGTTGCCATGAACAGGGAGTTAAGTGCATTTTTGGTAAGGTAAGTTTTTTTTTTTACTCAGGTATTATTTTAGATTATATCATTAATGACCTTGAGGAAAACAAAGTAAACACAAGAAATCTGCACCAGCCAAATCAAAATTAGACAATTCAACTATCAATTTTTAATAAACCACAATTTTGAGAAACACCTGTTACCTGTCTCACAACTAACATTTTTTGAGGGCATGAACTGTGTACACCCAGCACCTAAAAGAATGTCTGACAAATAGTAGCCACTCAGTGCATATTTGAGGCATGAATAAATAAACAAGAGAAGGATGGAATGGTGGAGAGTGTCATGGACAAAGTCTATACTTTTAAATTTGAATCTTTAGTTCAACAAGTTTTACAGACTAAAAGTCTTCCCTTAGGAAAAACACATCTGCATATACAATTCCATGCAGCTAATCAAATGATATAGCTTCTGCACTGTCACATAATTGTGTTAGCACTCAGCAGCATCTATCAGCCGTCCGGTGGGATGGACGCACTGTGCTGGATCCTGGGAGGAGCTGTGAAAGGAGATACATGAGCCAAGCAGTCATGGCCCCTGTTGTTCTAGTTTTCATTCAAGATGAGAATACAAAATAAACCAAAGAGAAAATGTCAGAACACTCAGGGTAATAAGCGTAGATTAACTCTGTTCAAACTATGCACACCCGTGTTGAGAAAACAGGCAAAGCAGCAGACACACCTTGGGCAGGTGAGAAGCAGTGGAGCTCCCTCTCTTGACAGCTTTCCCTACTGTGGAAGGATTTACCGTAACTTCTTACTGGTTTTCAAACTGTGATCTCAGACCACTGGCAAGTTATGATTAACATTCATGTAAATAGAAATGATATATGTTATCTATATTCATGTAATATAGATCTCTAAAATACAGACCTTCAATTTTAACTGTAATTTGTGGATAATTTTCTTATAGATTTATTTACTATCTATATAGAATAGAATAGAATAGAATAGTTCATAAAGTGTGAAAGAGAGTGCCTGCATGGCGTATTCTAAAAATAGGAAATAGGTGTCAGTTTATTAAACTTGTATTTCAGTTACTTCTATGATTTTATATGTGTAGGGGAGTGCTGGGCTGTAATATAAACTGTATATCTTACAGCAGAGTCACCCAACATGTTTGAAAGCCACTGCTTTAAACCATGGTAAACTGAGCCACAAAAAGATCTGGGCAGGCCGCTGAAAAGCCCAGGACAAGAACAACTACCCTTTCTGTCCTGCACACATGGTGATAACTCCTCAAGGTCTGGCTCTAGTCACTCTTTGATAGGCTCATACTTTGTTGCCTTGTCTTTCCCAGATTTGCAGCCGGGTAGCAATCTTTGTTTAAAAGAACTTTCCCCATTTTTTGTAGCTACTTGCAAGGCTGGGAATTCTGGTGGCAGCTTCCGAGATATTTATAGCTCTGCCATCAATTTAGAAGTTGTCCCATCTTTCAAATCTCCATTCAGCTTACTCAACTTGGAGCAACTTTCTGCAGCAATAATGTAGAGATCCTGTTGCCCCTTCCTATTCTATCATTCCCAGTCCAGCAGAACAACACCATGGTGAGCCTGTAGACACAAGTGAATCTCATACTGTAATTTTCAGAAAGTGTATGGTTTATTTTAACTATATGAAGGAGTGTATATTCACTTAATGTAGTACATAGGCAATTATGCTTTCCTCTCAGAGTAAATCTGTAATTATTCTGTAACAGCCACCTTGCATCATTTCTTTTCCAGATAAGCTTTTTAAGTTTTGAAATTGAGAAAATAACATTTGAACTAATAAAGTTGAAATTGTCAGCACTTTTCCTCTAATGCTCATTTGTCAAAAGTTCTTAAAACCATGAAAAGTAAATCTTTGAAGAAACAAGATAAATGGATTCTATCTATGGAGACAAGTGTTTGTTTTTTTGTTTTGATTTGTTTGGGTTTTTTTTTTTTTTGTATCTTTTTTTTTCTTTTTCAGTGAAAGCAAAACAAGACAATCCAAGAACCAAGATAAGGTCAGTTTTACAGGTCAGTCCTGAATACATCAAATGAGCATATAATTAGCAGGCACCTGCTGAATGAAGAACAACCTAGAAAAGAATCAAAGAATTGGAACACAGAGATAACAAAAAGTGGTAGGCTAAAAGGTTAGCGACTGAGTCCCAATTTTTACCATTGTTAAATATCTTCTGGCTTCAGTGAGATTCCATGTACCACTGGATTTCATGCGCTCCCATGTGAGCAGAGGAACTGCGCCTATAGGGGGCGGGCAGAACAGGAAGCTGCAATTATGTCCATTATCTGTTACAGGGGAGAGTGCCAAAGGTAAATAGTACACAGGATATAGCTCTTAACTAAGGCTAATATACCTGAATAACTAGAATGTGCTCTTTAACTTTGTAATTTATCTTTCACAGGAAAACCAGGAGGCTTTTAAAATGATATTAAATTTATTTTGGCCAAGCCAAATGGATTCACTGCACTGAGAGAAATTTTGGAGGGTAAAAACAGAGACATCTTCCTAAGCGTATATTCTATCCATACAAGACTGGTCTTGTCCTTTCCTTTTGTGTGTGAAGCTTATGAATATTCATAACAGAAGGCATTGCATAATTCTTTCTTATTGTTTTCCATGTTTATCAGATATTTCAACATACTGTGACTTTCAAAGAGAGTAGCCCATGGAAGTCCTCCAGATTGCCCTTGGGATGATCTCAACATACCAATATTTACAACTGTATCTACTCTTTTATCTCTGGAATAATTTAACCTGTTGGTGATCTCTCAGAGGACTTATCCTCAGAAACTTTTATTCTGTTAAGATACACTATAGACCCCTCGGAATTTGAGAAGTGTGGGTTGCCTATTAAAAACATGAATTTGTCGCCTGGGTGGCTCAGTCGTTAACTGTCTGCCTTCGGCTCTGGTCATGATCCCTGAGTCCTGGGATCGAGCCCCCCATCGGGCTCCCTGCTCGGCAGGAAGCCTGCTTCTCCCTCTCCCACTCCCCCTGCTTGTGTTCACTCTCTCGCTGTGTCTCTCTCTGTCCAATAAATAAATAAAATCTTTAAAAAAACCCGTGAATTTAATACTAAATTAAGTAGGTTTGGTAAATTTGTTATTGGTGCTAAATGTATAAATGCTAAAAAAGAAAAAAAAAAAAGACAACGTTCCCTAAGAGTGGTTTGTTGGTTTTGCAGATAGACATTTCTTACGATGTAGAGATTATTGTGTAGTTAAGAATTAAACTTATATAACTTTATAAAATATGCCTAACCTCCCTTATCAATTATACCTTAGACCTTTTTTTTTTTTCAAGTTTTCAGACTCCGTGATGAGGTTTTAGAGGAAACATAGAATATCCTTATTCTGGGTTTACTGTATCAGGTACATACTCTACCAGGTACAAATGTAATACCTGACATAAAACAATTTGTCCAGTAATGCCATTGATTCGGGAGAGCATCATGACTGCTGCATTCAGAATTTGTAGGCAAAATGAGCAGTGCCCACCAGGGGAGTTCTATAAATAAGTTGGCAATGAACAGGGAGGATTGCCTCTTGTTAATTAAGAGCCACTCAAGAATGGGTTCTTGACTTTTTGTAGAGTGTTGTAAATCTTCCCTTTTTAGAGTGCAGGATTTTTATTTTTAAAGAAAACACACATCTGTGTTTATACCAGATGGTATGTAGACATTTCCTATTATTATCCATTCTTCTGTCCATTGCTACAGATGTTACAAGTATCTTCTAAACTTTTCCCTTCTCTCAAGGCTAAAAACAGAACCTAGCATTAAACATAACAGTAAATGAAGAGGCAGAGAAAAACTGAAATGAAAAACAGGTTCATTATTAGATTAACTCTGTTCTTCTACTACTTGCTCACTTCAACAAGACAATACAATTGCAGTACAGCCAAAGCTACATATTTCTTTTTTGCATAGATAACTCTGGAGGATAAATGGACCTTCATTCCATAAATTGAACTTTTTATGATATCGTATGCATACAGAATTGCCCTTAGGTAAAACCCTTAGTTGAAAACGTCTGCTCTGTTTGTCCAGTTCTGACTTAATTCTTCTTGTAACTTAAGACTTGTACTAACCTTGTAATGAACAAACATTTGACTCATATTTTCTGGAGCTACACCATTCAATGTTTAATTTAATGACATTATTTAGAGTCAGATCAAAGGGAGCACATGTCTTACCAGAGAATACACTGACAATGTGCTACCCAGAAATAAGCTTCAATAAAAGGATTCAGTATTGATCTAGCTACCTAATGGTTCCAATGAAGGCATATTGAGGCCTCACTGGGTAGCATACCGCAGCTCCTTTACCATCCTCTACTCACTGGGGACACGGTGAGGATGGATGCCTCAATGCCACTGATTCACTGAAGAATATTTATTTAGGGTCTACTATATACAGAGTTTCTCCTAGGAACTTTGATACTGTGAGGACTTTATTCTCAGCATCACCTTCTTTTTTTTTTTTTTTTAAGATTTTATTTATTTATTCATGAGAGACAGAGAGAGAGAGAGGCAGAGGGAGAGAGAGGCAGAGGGAGAAGCAGGCTCCCAAGGAGCAGGGAGCCCGATGCGGGACTCGATCCCAGGACCCTGAGATCATGACCTGAGCCGAAGGCAGACGCTTAACCATCTGAGCCACCCAGGCGCCCTCAGCATCACCTTCTTTCCATAACTTCAAGACTTGGGAGAACTTTAAAAAAATACCATCATTACCGAAAAAACTGAGGACCCCAGATCTGAGAGAAGATCATAGTCCATCCTCTATAAAGTCCTTGATAATAAGGGGACAAGAAACTCAAGTAGTAGGTCTAGACCCAGAACACCAACTATATTTTAAAGAGCCCTGAGGAAAACAGAAGCAAAGTATAGATTTGTTAAATGGAACTTTCATCTACTTGACCAGTGAAAAGATAAAGGCTTACTTTCAAATGGTTTTATGTAACTTACATTTTCTGAGGTTTACTCTGAGAGGAGGAAAGGCAAATGGCACTGCATCGGATCACAGAATGAAGGACTTGTGTCATTGGGGTACTGTTCTTGGAAAATTAATAGGTTCCAGAAGCAAGCAAGATGATTAATACTGGCTTTCATTTGATCTATAAACCACAATGACATGCACAGCATGCCCCTGACTTTACCTGGCATTGTGATTTAATGAAAAGAGAAAGCTTAGAAGAAGACTATGAAGGGGAAAAAAAGAACACCCTTCTATACTGGGCCAGAAACTTCTTGATTGATATACCCACCTTTTGATTTCTAAATCTTGATCGGGGGGCTTTTGTGTATGGTAGATATTTTCTTTCCCAAGATAGCAGGGTAAAATGTGTGAGTTTTTTAAACGCAAGCAACAACAGTATAGAAGGGAAGTGATAGACAGCTTCATATTTTCTGAAGGAAATGCCATTTGCAAAGATATAAATAATAATGCTGAAGAGAGTAGGGGAAAGTGAATGTGCTAATAATCATGGGTGTATTTTTATAATGGGTGTACTATTAAATAAAATCAGTTTTGAAAGCCCGATTGTAAGGCTGAAGTAGAAGATGTATGAGGCCACAGAATACACTGGTGTGAGTGAGTCTACCAGCCGTACCCTATCAGGTCTCAGTGGTTTTGACTGGCATTGAAAGACGACTGTGTGGGTGAAAAAGATGGAATATCCAAACCCCTATGTAAAAGGTTGAAGCCACTGTAGAAATCTGGAGCTGTCATAAAACCAACCTGTAGTCACCCCCACTGTTTTTCTTACGACTCTTATTATAGCTCAGAACTCTGCTCCAAGATGGTCTGCACTCACCAAATCACGTGAACTTTCATCTCCACCTCTCCAACTCCTATAATGGCGCCAGCCCCCCATTCTGCATCCTGGGCATTTCAGTCTATGCCTGATCCAACATGGCTAATATACCCCGCCTAATTCTGTTTCCAGAGATTTCTTCAGACACCAGAGCTTCTTCCTTATCTTGCTAGCAACTCTCTAGGGGATTTGTTAAATCAAAATAAATGGGGACGTGCTCCACATGGTCACAAAGAGATTCTTTATCCTGTGATTGGATATGTACATCTGCCTCAATGGCTGGTCTCAGTGTTTTTGTATTTTCTTTCACTACCTCATTTTTTCTCTACATTTATTGAACATGTCTACTTCAACTCTGAGTTAAATTTCATTCCTCTGCAGAACTTAACCTGCCAAGGACAACAGCCAATTTATAGATTATGGTATAGGGATGACAAACACTTTGATAGATGTAAACACAAAAGCTATTGGGCCACTTAAATCAGTTTGCCTTATTAGTTGGCTGCCTTAATCAGGAAATCACTGGATTGAAAGGTCACACAGTACTTTTTTTCATTAGCAAGCTTTATCCCCAAATCTTCTGAGAGTATTCATTCAAAGAATATTTAGTGAGTATCTGTAAATAACCAGGCACTGTTCTATAATTTTAGTACTGACTGGAACAGAGAAACATTCCTGCCCTCATGGAGCTTACAATCTGCAGGAGCCAAAACTCCACTAGACAACACATGAATATGTAAAACGTAGAACAGGGAAGATAGAAGTGTGTGCTAAAGAGGAGAACTGAAGCAGGGAGGAAGGGTATGACATATAGAGGGAGGTCAATATATTAGGGTGACTAGGGAAGAGCCCCCGAGACAATGACTTCTGCAAAGTGATCCAAAGGATGTGATAGGGTGCGTCGTGATGCCTTATGGGGAAAAGCATTCTAGACAAAGCTATTCTAGCAAATGCAAAAGGCCCTGTGGCAGGAAGTGCCTAGTGTGTCTAAAAACAATAAGAAGGCCATTGTGGTTTGAGATCAGAGAACAGGTTGGTGAGAAGTCACTCTCCTTTTAAAGAAGAGAAGATGAACTCCAGGAAAGGATACGGTGCTTGGAGAAGGAAGTAATGATGTTGTCATCAAGGCCAGCAGTATGGGAGGGTAAAGCTCCGTTTCCCAGGCCTGGAGTCATCATCGTAACTTTCAACCCTCACTCCTTGCTCTTGGAATACCATTTGATGTACACACTTCTTCAAGGGAGATGAATGGGGGCAGTAATCTTAACAGACAATAAAAAGGAACTTAATTACCTCAAGCATGTTGAAGAAAAAGTACAAAAGTGATTGTGCATCCTCACTACCTAATTTCCCCCTCCTTTTTTTCTCCTCAATGTCCTTTCTCAGCCTGACATTATCTTGACAGAAAATCACCATTGAACTTCAAT